TTTAATTAATAATATAACAATATTTTAAGTGTATTGTTTTAAATAAAGAATATAATATGGATTTTGAAATATTTAAACGATAGATGATATGGATAGTAAAGATACGTTTAACATAAAATATATAAAATATAATCACTGCCGGTAGATGTATAGGTGATAGTTCGATAGACTGATAATTCGTACTTGACTTGAATTAGCTCTTTGCTTTTTAAATAGAGTTATTTTTTGAACAGTGACAGAGAGTCTGCAAAATGACTCTTCTGTTCTGTGTATGAAAATATCAGAGGTATGTGTAAGGTTTACGACCATAGCGAAAGCCAAATAATGACGATTTCACAGCTAGATTTGTTCCATATGTGAAAACACATTTTGTGTTTATACAAACTTTTTAAAATGAAGCATAACATAGCCTAATGGTAGTAAAGGTCAAAGATCTCGAATTACATACAAGCATCAGCTAAATCAATATCCATATGTGAAACATTCAATGCGTGGGTCGACAGAGGCATAAATCTGCCTGAACCATCTTTAATGACTGAATAGAATCTAGGGTTTTTCTCTGAAAATATTCTTCTAAAAGATACATTAACTTCATCTAAATATTTGAGACGTTGTTTGAGGTGACATGGCTGAGTCACGTTTGCGCTGTGACAAACAAAGAGGCTCCTTTCCATCCTTTTAAAACAAGAGAAATATTTGTAGTTTTATTTTTAAACATACAGAAAGATTGTGCAAGGGGAATAAAACATTGAAGATGATACTTAAAATAAGAAACTTTTAAAGAGTGATTGATGTGAAATAAATTATACTTTAGTTGAAATGTAAGCAAAAAACACAGTATCCTACCAAATGTTTATTTAAAGTCTTAAGAATAACAGAATAACATCTCAGATCATCTGGTCTAACTCATCCCTCACCAACCCTTCTCTGTGAGGGTCCATCAGTTTCACATTGGGGATTACCCCGGGGAGGACCTGCCAGGTTTTGGTTATGATTCAAGTTAAACATTTTATTTATTTATTTTGTAAATCACTCATCCATGTTTGGACGTCGTTGCGTAAAGTTCTATCTCTTAGCACTCTAAAAATGTAAGGCATCATTTTTATATTTATTGAGACCTAAAATTATATTAAATGTTTATTTTATACAGCGTGTTATATATAATTACAGTTTTATTTGCTACTATCTTCTTTAAATGAAGAGAATAGTGTATTTAATAAGTTCAATAAGCTTAAATAAATGTTAAATACATGTTTAAATGTATAATTTTGCTTCAGTAACATGTTACTATGATGTCATATATTTTATTACCATATTATTTAAAATAGAGATAAGTCTCTCTTTAGCTCGAAATGTTTATGTATGTATGTTCTTGTTTATATGACTTATCAGGATGCACATTTTTATAATGACATGGGTATTACACTGATATAACAACGTAAATGTGTTCATGAGGATATTTCTTGAGTCCTCATAATTAAAATTCTTACAAACAATATTTAATTAAAAATGTAAGATATTTTTAATTAACAGAGATATTTGTGTGATGGGGTAAGTGTTTGTACAGTACAAATTCATTATGCCTATGGAGCGTCCCCAGAAAACATAAAAAACAACGTGCGTGTATGTGTATGCGTGCGTACGTGTGTGTGTGTGTGTGTGTGTGTGTGTCTGTGAGAGAGAGAGAGAGAGAGAGAGAGAGAGAGATGGTGAGGGTTAGAACGAGAGACAGAGGAGCTTTTCCTACTTAAATCTCTGGTTGGTCATCATCACCCCCAGAATAATGTAAAGCATTTTTATTGTCAACTGAAACTTTAGTAAATGTTTATTTTTATAAAGTATGTTATATATAATCACATTTTATTTATTTAAATGAAGAGAATGATGTGTTTTATAAGTTCAATAAACTTAAATAAATGTTGAATACTTTTTTAAATTGCATGATGAATGATTTGCTTTTGTAACATGGTAGTAAAACATGCCGTCATATATAATTATTTATTTCCATATTCTTTAAAATAGAGATAAGTCTGTCTTTAGTTTGTAATTTGTATGTATGTGTGTGCTTGTTTAGGATATATGATTTATCAGAGAGAGAGAGTGCGAGAGAGAGAATCTGTTAAAATTGTTTATTTATTCTGTTTATTGTTCATCCCATTCCTTCTTGGAAATTTTAGGTGAATATATACCTGACATGTCTATGTATTTCACAGCTCTTTTCTGATTTTCCACAGAAGTGCACAGGGTCTATTTATCTAAGCCTGCCTTGGAATGCAACCGGACACACGGACCCCAGATAGGCAAACCCCCCCCGGATGTGGGAACGGACCATAAAATCTACAAAAACATTCCTCAGGAGTTCATTTATCGCCTGACATCCTCGGCCACATACATACAGCTGAACAAACATCATATGTCTTCCCCCGGAGGTCATAGGTTGATGTCGGAATTTCACATATGCCGGTTTTCACATCTAGACATCTAACGGGTCACCGGGCTCAACACAACGTGGGTGGTCGTGATGTGGGGGGACGGGAAAGGTCAATAGGTCAAAGCCATCAATCAAGTTGACATAAGCACCATCATATATACTACTTTGGTCTTAGGACATTCATGTTTAATCTCAGTCTCTATATGCCCTGCTACAGAGACTGTCTGCCGTTAAACTGAGTGGTAGTGGTTTGGTTCTTCAAATCCCACTGGACTTGTCTTTCTCTCAACTGGCGTTTCTTTTCATCCACTTTAGATAATTTTCACAATTGATTGCGAGGTGTCCGTCTTCCCCACATATAAAACAGTAACCAGGACGAGGACGAAAGTATGTCACAGGACCAGTTCTCTGCTGATTGTTCTCATCCTTCTCGGTCTGTCTATGCTG